TCTTTTGATAATTATTTATGTTGGCAATACAGATGACTAAACTGTATCAGATCTTCTCAATTGTAATTTTCAGTATATTCACAATTTATATCTAATAGATAATGCTGTCATATGACAACATGAATCCCTTTACCAAATAAAACACAATTGAGCTTTATACTTGCTACTAACATACTACTGGTAAAGTGTACATAATTTATTTCCCAAAATGATTATGCAAAATGAAGGAGGAGGAAATCACTAGCTTAAGTTTTGTTTACTATTTGTAAAACAACAGAAACAACAAAAATCCTATAATAAAGTGACTAAAAGAACTATCAGTAATTTTAAAAGTTAAAATTCTAACTTAGATATAGGAAATTGAAAGCATCCTTGGTTAATATTTGGTCCACAAAATATCTGTTTTGATCCTGCCAGAACCATATTCCACAGAAACTGTAGAAATTGATTCTCTCCACTATAACAGTGGTAGATCTCATTGAATCTGTGTACAAATACTGAGAACTGAGAGAGAACATTTCTAGAAAGTAGCATCACCTCATGGTTATGGTTGGGACTCTGTGTTGACAGGGATGGCCATCACCACTACATACCTGACTGTTGATGAGCTAAGGTATCAAAGGGAAAATCTAGGGGAATCCAGTAAAGGGTTTAAAAAATTCTAACCAAGAAGACTGAGGTTCCTTAACTCTGAGCATTTTAGAAAGCAACATATTTTTCCAGTTTGAGTTGGTTTTACTATTTCTAAGAGCCAAGATATAATAATGATTTCATTTTTCTTGTTTATCATTATATCTTGGCTTTGTTAAATCATACTATGAGCCATATTTCAAAATAAATATTTAAAAATTTTATCCCAAACACCTAACATTTTGCAGGAACATCATATTTTTAATTGCTATAGTTGGGATAAGGCTTGCGGGGTGTCCCTCGAATAATTACATGCTGAAATTATTCTCCAAAGGTACTAAGCACAAAACCCGGAACTCCCATTGTGTCTACAGGTGGTGATAAAATGAAAAGAAGCCCCCTCAAGTGGAGCCTCCATTGTTGAAGGTTGCAGTAAGTGAATTCAAAGGGCAGAGGTGAAGGAACAGAGGGCGACACATTTATATTCCCTTCCTCTTGTAATAGTATGGCCACTTTTGACCTTTGTCACTAAGAATCACTAAATGTGGCCTATCAAAATTTGATTTGTAAAGTATCATGCATTTTTGACATTTATTATCATTATGTCTTGACAATATCGTACATGGAGTACTGGATGTATGTCATTTTCTAAACTAATGGCAACAGTCAACTATTTCTCATGACGACTTGGTCCACATTAGAACTGCTTTTGACTGCCTGATCTATTAATTGTGAATAACTTCAGAAACAAATTTCAGGACTTGTAGTTATGAACATTTAGAAACACAAAACAGAAACAGAAAATTAAAATGAATATAAAAAATTCAGACATTTCATCATTAATGTGCTAGATTTATTTACCATCTTCTCCTTAGGTTCCGAAGAATATTGAGAACATTAAAATGCATTTTAACAGTTTCCATTTAACAACTTTGAAAACTGGAGCAAGACACATATGTGTTACATCATTTGTAAAATGCAGAAATCTATACAAGAGATTTGGCAGTGTATATAGAGAAGGATTTGAGAGACTGGCCGAAGACATCTCTGTTTGCTTCAGCTTTTATTATCTTTTTCTTTTTCAAGGCACTTAGGTACATTTTTTAATTACTGTGAAAAAATTGAACTTCCATTGCTAATGAACTTCTGTTGCTAACTAGGATGATGCAATACTATTTCAGAAAAACACACATACAAATTAAGAATGAGTAAAATTTAAATAATGAAGGGAATGCACTGACAAATTATATGGTAAATACTGAAAGTGTGCAATTTCTACTGAGGCATTAGGATACTGAATTATTAAGCTGAGACAAGAATATAACTGCACACCTGGTAAAGTGTTTACCAAGTACTTCTGCACATACGAAGGAAGTGATCTATATTAGGTTCAGCAATCATTGTTCAAATGTTTGAACACTTTCACAGATTAAATAACCTAGAAGTTTCATCATGAACTGACATACTTATGTCCTGTCTAGTCCAGGCACCTTAGCAACTCTGCTTCTGATATTGAAAATACTCATCAAGTAGTGATTCTGAAAGCCAATGCATTTGAATGGGAATATGGGTTCCACATACACTGTAAAGACTATATCAGTATTCATGCAAACATATGCTGTCTAAAGACCTAAAAACAAGACATAACTAAAAAGCTTATTCCACTCTTTACACAAAATATAAGTAAAGTGTTGCTTTTAAAGAAACTATTGATAAGATTAACCATATACACTAATAGAAGACAACACAGATTTTGTCTACCAGTCTCCCTGTTCATATTTTGTACACATGTATATGTTCATGTGTATATACAAACATTTTAAGGTGTTCCAAATAAATCACAAGAAAAAAAAAGCATTTAAATGAGATGCTGAAATGTTTAAAATTACACATTGGAATAGATTTTAAAACTATAAACAGGGAGGAAATACTAAACTGTTAATTTTATATTCTTTGCTGTAAAAAAACTCCACGTAAATACAAATTATTCAAGAGAAAAAAAACAGCTCAGGTTCTTGAAACATTAATTCCCAACTATGAAAATATTAATGGTAACAAATACAGGACACAAGGTGGAACCTAGGGAAAGAAAAAGAAGCTATTGAAGTAATAAAATAAAAGAACAGTGGATATTGCAGCCCAGATACAGGTAGGAGGGACTAGACCCTCCCCCAAACAATTTGACAGACTTTGAAGGTCCTTGATAAAGGACCCTACTATCCCTGGAGAGGAGTCAGGGGTGGGCTGGGGTGGGTTGAGTGGCGAAAATGGGAGGAGGGGAGGGCGAGGGAAGGGGGGGATGGATATGTAAATATGAGTAATTAAAAATAATAAAAAAATTAGAAAAAGAAATATGCATTTACTCATACTTACAATGAAAATGAGAAATTGTTATGAAATTTCTGTAAGGAATTTGGGAAATGGATGAAAATTGTGTAAAATTGATTTTAAATTATTAATTGGAACTTTTTTGTTTATTTTAGAAAAGAATTGGAAGACTCTCAATAGTAGTTGGAAAGAATGCTCACCATCAAGATATTTTGGCAGAAGACAAAAGAGAGAAAGCAACACAGTAGCATATATATTTATCAAGCATTTAAAATAATGGAAATATCATTAGCCCAAATTAAAACCACTATAATAATATGTAAATAACTTCTTGAGGATGTTGGATTTTATCATTCCATGACATCAAATCAACAGGAGTAATTTCAAACAAAATTGTTCTAAATCACACAAAACATTAGGGACAATATGCAGTGAATTTTAGCAGAATGTGTTTCTGCCAAAGTTTTCTTATTTTTATTTTTATTCTCAATTTGTTTTCTCATTCAGACTAGAAGATGTGCAAAGAATATATATATATATATATATATATATATATATGATTTATAAAAACAAAATCGGAATTTTAGCCTTTCTAAAGTATTGCATGGAAAATATGTAATATTAATATAAGAAGTAAAAGGTTGTAATACATGGTAATAAAAAATGACCAAACAATCCAAAACAGAAAAAGAACAAAAAATAAAGAAAGAAAAATATAAAATAGAACAGCAGTAACAACAAAGACTTTCACACCTTTGTTATGAGTAGATAAGATTGTGAAGGTAATGAGTAAATCCCTAATAAAGAACTCTTACCTTATATTTCATATGGTTTTGAGGTAGTATATATGAAAAGCCAATTTGACAATACCTTTGTAAAAATGTCTAAAAATGAGCTAAGTAATATTGATGGAAAAAAGATAGGGGTCCTATGGGATAGGCATCAAAATAAAACACATGCTAAAAACAGAACAAATGACATAACTTCACTTTGTTAGAACACAAATAAGACCAAAAGAAAACCCACAAGCTAACACAGTCCTAACAGCCTAATAAGGAGGAGGAAGTCTACAAAATAAAGCACTTATCTTATTAATCCTGGGATAGATTAATATTAAATGAATATTTTTTCAATAAGATTGACTTTCTTTGGAGTTTCTGAATTGCATAGACATGACTTTCATAACATAAGCATGTAATGGAAACCTAAAACTATATCACAATGAACTGCATGGGTGTGATGGGATTTAAGATAAAGTTAAGTGCCCAACAACTATATAGATACAGGTTGATAACATGAGGAAATATAAAAAGTAAAGCTTTACTATATAAGCACAATTAGAAAGAAAACACTCAGATTACATTAATGACACACACAAAAAAGTAACCAAAAAATACAACATTCGCTCTACAACCATTTTTATGTAGACTAGTAGAAAGCCAAAAACACCAGGAGTGGTGTATGCAAGCATGTATGTATGTATGTATGTATGTATGTATGTATGTATGTATGTGTATGTATATTATCACTATTGCTTGCTACAAAAAACATTAATTGAAAAGTGAAATTTGTTATTTCACTGAAATCTGACTAGCAATTACTAAATTTTTGAGTTACAAAATATAAAAAGAAACAAAAATACTTCCATGAAAAACTTAAATTTGTTTGGGGCACTTTTTCATAGGAGAAATTAAACCTTGCAACATTATTAAAACAAACGAATAAAATATGCAATAAATACAAGTATTGTTCAAAATATAATAAAAATGTAACCAATTAAACAGTTGTGAATATTCAAATAAGAAAATACCTTTTTTTTAAAATGTGAGGATTCACCCTGTAAAAAAAACCAAGCTTCTAAGACATATTTGCATTTTCATACATATACAAGAAATGTTTTTGTATAAAAAATTCGTTGCACATGTGCAATGAATTAAGCAGCCACCAAGTTTTGAAGCTTACCCTTATAGCACCCTACAAGTGGAGAGCAGTATTGTTCTCCTAGCTGCTACTCAGATTGGAGAGGTAGAAATTGTTGTTGATCAGTGCTTCTGACCCAGTGCAATGTTGAGGGCTTTGGAGCCCAGGATGCGGCCATTCATCTCAGCCATTGCTTTAGCAGCCGCCTCGGGAGAGAAAAAGCAGATCAAGCCAAAGCCTTTGCTCTGCCCTGCTTCCTGCATCACCTTGACTCTGCAAATGGACCCAAAGGAAGAAAATTCCCTGCGCAGTGTTTCGTCGTCAATGGTTTCATCCAGGTTCTTAATGTAAAGCTTCGCGGCTTGACGTGCACGGATTCTTTCCTTTTTCATCTGTTCAAACTTTTCCTTTAACTCAGCCTGGCGTTCTACCTTCTTCTGAGCTCTGCCTACAAAAATTGTCTGCCCGTTTATATCCTGCCCATTCATTTCTTCAACTGCATTTCTGGCAGCCTCATGGTTATAAAAACTCACAAATCCGAAGCCTTTGGATTTGCCATTGTCATCTTTCATCACCTTAACGCTCAAAGTTTGGCCGTATTTGCTGAAAATGTTCTTTAGCCCCTCATCATCCATATTGTCCCCCAAGTTTTTGATGTACACATTAGTGAATTCACTGGTTTTGCTTCTGAGCTCTGCCTCCCGATCCTTACGGCTTTTGAATCTGTCTACAAACACTGTGCAATCCCTCAGCAGCTTCCCATTCATCTCCTCAATGGCCCTGTCTGCAGCACTCTGGTCCTGGTAGTGCACGAAGCCATAGCCCCTGGAGCCTTCTTCATCGCTCATCACCTTGGAGGACAGGATTTTTCCAAAGGGTGAGAAGTGTTCATACAAGGTTTTATTATCAATGGATTTGTCCAGATTCTTAATAAACACGTTCCCGATTCCCGATTTCCTCAGGTAGGCATCCCGCTGAGACCACATGAGACGGATGGATTTGCCTTGGATCAAGTCAAAGTTCATGGTGTCTAGGGCCTTCTGGGCATCATCCAGCTGGAGAAAGTTGACATAGGCATATCCTAGGGAACGACGGGAAACCAGATCCCTGCAGATGCGTATGGACAACACCGGTCCCACTGTGTTGAACTTCCTGAACAACACATCCTCAGTGACATCTTCGTGGAGGTCTCCCACGTACAGGGAAGCTGCACGATATTTGGCTTCCAAGCTCATGTTTTTCCGTTGTTTTGTTTTGATTGCTCTTCCCTCCCCCGACTCCAACACTGCAAGTCTGTTACCAGCAGCTACCAAGGACTTATACACTTCAAGTAGTGAAGCCCGACCAAAGCTCAGGGCCTGATCCTTCCTGGTGGCCTCCAAGGACCACTTAGAGGGCCTGCTGCAGGGCCAGTTGAATTTTCCCCAAGTCAGACAACTCGTATGAAAACACTCAGAACTAATGTCCTTTCCTGGTAGTTGGCAATCTGCCTTGAACTTTTAGGCGCCGACTTTACTTCCCTTCCAACTCAGGAACAACTTACATGTGGCTGGCCAGGACAGGCCCTCCATCTGCCCTCACCCCAGCAGCTG